GGAGTAACTTTAAGAGAACTTATATAATACTAACTTATTATAAGTTTATAGCAATATAGGACAGAAGGACTAAGAGTATAGACTAAGATAGGACAAACCAAATAGGCTAGTTGGAGTTCAGGAAGTTTTCGGGAAGCAAGTGTAATAACGTAATATCCGTAGTAAGCCCTTTAGGTGCTTAGCGCCGGGCGGAATAAACTCCATCCATCCATCCATACATTAGTCTTTCAAGGTCTTCCAAAAGGCCATACGATGTTCAAGGCCCCCAGACCAATTCTTCAACTACCCCTGCTTCTGCAGCTATAAACGAGGCAGAATGTCCGCACCTGCGTGTACAACGCACCTCAAGCCGATGCAACCTGAGAAGTTCACCTGGATCAACTTTCGAGGCGCGAGAGGATTGAGGATTTCACGTAGATTATAACACCGAAACTCGGCGAGATGGGCATGATCCGTACGTGTTCTGTGAGCTCGAAGGATTTGTACTCATAAAGGAAGGGATGGAGGAGGTCACATTGTCGGGGTCTGTTCTCGTCCTTCAGGGTCCCAACCAACAACAGCACAGAAAGGGCCGAACAAACACTCGAGAACAATAACATAAGAAGAGCGAACAGATGAAAACTCAATTTTCGATTTCTTCATTTACTAACCAACCTGCTTACGCTCGCTCCTCGGATGCTCTAGTGTCCCGCTTTCGAAAGTTCAGACATGGAGACTTTATTGACACCCATTATTCTAATTTCGAAGTTACACTTCGTTCGATAGGCGCAGAGATACGAGAACACTAACTTCCACCTGCAGCTCAGCAAGACACATGTACATGTGAGCTTTCATGGCGTGCCCCTGACGTTGACCATTTAACAGTATGTTGTACTCTGGACAGGGAACTGAGCTAAGTTCTGAACCCGGTGGCCTGCCACTCTTTTCACTGCAATCGACCTGGTTAGAGAGCATCGCGAATAAAGGAAGTTCGGTCCGATATCTGCTGGACGTAGTGACCATGCTTGACACATAGTACATCTCATGCATATCGTTCCGCACATGCAGTTACTAAGTTGTATGGGACAGGCATTCAGCTCATGGGAGGGATGGTTTCTCGTATACGTTAGTAATATCGGTCCGACTAGAGACCTCAAAGCATAGAAGGCCAGGGAGTATATGTCTTCGGACAGAAAGTATCCCTAATTGAAAGTAAAGTAAACACATGAAAGAGAGCAACACCATGGTAGGTCGTTTCCTGAAAGTTCGTAACTAGCCTAGCTCCTTGCGTTAGTGATCCGAGCTAGCTCAGGGATATCCCGCCTCCTCGAGCTGCCTGTCCTAGAAAAAGACGCGCAAAAGGTCTCGCCCTTAACAATGACGGCAAAGTCTCTCATCGCCGCGCGTAGTGCCGTGGCGCAGAGGCCGGGAGAGGTCCGTCACAGTTACGCGCCAATACTTTTCAAGGTCCATCCTCCGCTACTTATATAGAGGATATCAGAGCGGAAGAACAGACTTTCAGTACTCTATCTGAACGCATCGAGCACATCTACCCGAGTGAAAAGAACGCGTTCATGCCACGTCACCGCACATGTAAATGAAACGCATCAAGGGTGGTAGCACTGCCCACGGAGAGGAGAACTTCCGACTATGCTCATTCTTCCTTATCTGAACGTGCGCCGGGATTTCGCTAGAGTTTAAACGAGATCCGAACGGAAGTTTGATAAGGCCAGTCTGGGCCCTTCGTCGACAGCAGATCACACATATATATCTTGTACCTTCACTGTACTACGATATCAACTTAGGCTAGAAGCGAGCGGACAAGCAAGCGGACTAGCTTAGAAAGCCCCAATTCTACTTTCGTACCAGCTTAGATCGAAAGTAGGCGAACCACAAAATCGCTACTTTCATTCTTCTCTTGACCAAAAAAGCAACAAGAATGCACCTTCTGAAGACACTGCCAGTGTTTCTTGCTCTTGCGCGTAAGTATAATAGGTTCAATCTTTACAATTGGAAAGCATCTACGGATTGCTAACATATGACAGTTGCAGACCATAAGTTAGAATGCGGATCGAACTGTGCATATTGTATTTACGATAATGGCAAATCAAGTTGTTGGATTGGGAATTGCTTTTTCTACGCATGCACATGTCATAATAAGCCGGGAAAAACGCTTACAGATTGGGGTTGTAAATCGTGTAACTTCGCTGGCCTTCCTAAGACGCATTGCCCCGATCTTAAATAGATTCCGCTACATTTAGTCTAATGTACTTGATAATTAGGGGGATTGGATAGGCATGTGGGTCAAACTCTCGCGAATATTACACTATTATCAAACGCGTCTATCATTCTACATACAAACGCCATAGGCTCTCCAGATAAAGAGGTTGCTTAGCAAAATTGTTATAGCAACCACCACATGAAAAAATGCATTTAGCGCGGGGGCTGGCTGTAGCAGTTGTGAATGTGAAGCTTCCGGTCCTCCAGTTCGATACTGAGCGTGATGAGGTCCGGGCTGCGCTCCGTGATTTCCCATCGTTGCGCGTCGAGGTGCTTGCTCACGTAGAAGCAGGCGCGAGTCTTGGCGTTCGAGGGGTAGGCGAGTTCGTAATTCGCAACACTTGAAGGAGCAACTTCAAGAGAACTTGTGTAACACTAACTTATTGCGAGTTTGCAGCAATGTAGGACAGAAGGATCGGGACGACAGACTGAGATAGGACAAACCAAATGGGCTATTGGGAGTTCAGGAAGTCTTTGGGAAGTAATATAATGACGTAATATCCGTAGTGTGCCCTTTAGGTGCTTAGCGCCGGGCGGAATAAACTCCATCCATCCATCCATTCTGCCCTCCATTAGCGTGGGCAGAATGGTCTTGGTGGAAGCGCTTACAGAGCCGAAACTTCAGGGAAACGCACAGGATTCCTGCACGACTTTACGACTTGCTGGTTTCGTCGAATCACAAGATAGCATAATAAGAGCGTGTACCCAGCCACTGGAAGTCGCCCAAGTGCTGATATGTTGTCTGGCGGCGACCTCGATGGGGACAAATTTTTTGTCACTTTGGATCTCGACATCATTCCCCAAAATCTCTCCATCCCGGCAGCTTACCCGGGAGTAAAGAACGTACTGTGTCGAGTTTGAAGCCATCACGGGAGATAGGCGAGCCCACTTCGCGCACAACATAGGTAGCCGGACTCAAAGGGGAAGCAAATTCTGGAACAGTGCAGAGGCTGGGACCCCACCAAAGCTGAAATGAGACACTTTCTTCCCGATGCTTCCACAGGGAGTGACTCAAATGACACGTGAAGTTGATACTTGTTGGAGACCAAAGTTGCAAACACCTTCAATACGAAGAGTCAAGCTTCGAGTCTCTTCGGGTCAATACCAGCACCCTCACTGCTCACAAAATGGCCATGGCCAAAGATGACGTTAGCCCAGCCCTACAAGCAACCCTCCCCGAGGAACTGTGCCTCGACATAATCACCAAGCTGGACATGCCGTCCATTATCGCTCTTTCCCAGACTTGTCGACGCTTTAGCAGGCTATCAGACCCGACCGACATGTCCAGACGGCCCCTGCTGGACAAGTTCCTCATCGAGGCTCAATCATTCTCTCGTTGGCGCGAAGGATTCGCTTGCTTCTCTTGTACGAAAGTTCTTTCTCGTGACAGATTCGCCGATGCTCAAACAAGGAAGAAACGAGGACGGAATGGCAGTGAACAGAAAGGACGCTTTTGTATACAATGCGGGATAGGGAAAGGCCGGCATTCACCAGGAAGCATGGTCGTACAGGGCAATGTTATACGCATGGTGTGTCGACAATGTAAGAGGTTGAGGGGAGGCAGATTCTGCCAGCGCTGCACGATCTGCAGTCACTGTGATAGAAATCGCGCTACATTGAAGGAATGTGAAAATGATGGGCATACGATCATTGGCGACGCTCTTTCAAGCGTGGAGACAGTACAGGCATTTCCAATCTGTCCCATTACAGCGTTGGGTCTGGGATTCCACATGACCGAATACGAAGCAATGACAGGAGAGACGGCGAGCCCAGAGTGGTACGACGGCCCGGACGACATAGGACCGTAGTGTAGACCAGGACGCAGCTGTCCCATCCAGTCAATTCCGAAGTGCTTGGAGACTAGGTCTTCAAAGTTTATGAGCTTATTGGCACGCAGTGGCAGTCGGACCAAATCATTCCCTTTTTTCTCCTTTTCTGCTGATCATGGATAGTTGCTCACCTGGCTTACACCAGGCCACGCAGTATCGCACCTTTGTAATATTTGCGGACGAAAAGTCATGCGCATGTACAGAAGTCGTGGTATGCCACCCATTGTCACAGACGAGGCACAGTCGTCTCGATGATGGGACTTGGTGCAGTGGAACGAAAGACGATTGGCGCTCCATAGCAGATCAGAGAACAATAACAGTGGACAAATGCAGCACATTGTTCAAGTAAGATTGAGCGGCCTGCTACACCTGCATGTTGTGGCCGACGCTGAGACTATCTTGCATAGACCGAAACATCGAGGTGACGGCTGTGTTCAACTACACGTTGTCCAGCTGGTCGATGCAGCAGGGATCCACCCAGGTCCGGCCAAGTCCATCTTGCCTTGCCTGCTCTCTACAGTAACCGAGTTTCTTGTATCCTTCCTTATGCTTTCCCGAGCCGCTGAGCACGTCCTTGTACATCACCTCCCTTGCTGGACTCTTAAACAAGCGCAACGTCTGGGTCGTGGTAATGAACAAGGGGAGACAGCGACACCAGCAGCTCCATAGGTGTGAAGAGGGCGTTGGCCTCACGCGGCGTCCTTGGACGTGCGCAGGAAAGTGTGGGGACGGACTTGGCGGCAACGTGTTGGAAAGCAAGAGTTCACAACACCACTTCGGGCGGCCTCAGCGATGTATTCATTTGCCATTGAACATGCAGCTTGCGGTCATCATGGCCGTAGTGTAGTGTGCCTGCTTTCCCGGCAGGTCCAGCCTCACTCTTCCCCAGAGAGAGGACAGTTTCACCTTGTCAAATTCATAGCAAGCCCTTTCCAGAGTGTTCTGAAGCTGAATCATTAACAGATGCTGGGTCCTCATCGGTACACGGGATACAGCGAAGGCACTTCGACAGCAATCTCTAATCTTGATCTCTCGCGGGACGTCGTCGCTATACAAACGCTGGTGCACATGATCAGATTCCTGCTCATTCAGTAGTAGATGTATCGCATGGCCGGCTTGCTCGAGCAGTGCACCTGCGAGACCTTGGATACCTGGCTGTCATTGTGCGCCTCTGCTGCTCACTTCAGGTTAGTCTCTTCGGTTTCGGCAGCTTTCTTGCCCAGACTCTGCTACAGCCAGAACAAGGACGAGCAAGCTGATCTATTGGCCGTCCTGTAGATTGGAAGTTACTCAGTACTATCTTCTATCTTCCCAGGCGGGCGCGGCTTAGTAGACACAACCACCACAGTAAGTTAGCCACACTCTGAGTCGCATGCTTGATATTGGCAGAAGTCTCGGGCCTGCCCGTACTCTTAAATCTTCACGAACCGGGGCTAATCTGGAGACGCTCAGAGTGCATATTTTGATATGGACGGCAAACTCAGTGGTTCCGCGACCAAACGTGCGTGTCTGATAGCAGACTGGTTGCCCTCCTAGTCATCTCGACACAAGCCACATTGGTGTGACGGAGTGGAGTCAAGTCAGTGACTGCTTGTGAATTGTGCGACACGTGCGGCTGACGGGCCGGCGGTAACGCGACATGCGAAGGGAACACCTTGTCCGACTTCCTGGCCGCACCAACCTCCGTGTCATCCTGAACATGTACAAGCTAGTCACGGGGACCATCAGATTGTTCGAACATGCGCAGATCCTGGGGCAGAGCAGGATCATGGTGGAATTCGCTCAAGACCTACGTGGACAGTCCAGCGGCAACGCGGCTCTGATGCGGTCATCGTGAAGATCACTCTAGGCATGCGACATTGCTGAGGCCCTCTATGAAAGGAGCGGCCGGCGCTGGGTGGGAAGTGCAACGTACCCATCCGTGAAGGCTCTGTGACAGTACGCCCGGTCAGTCGTCAGAAACGTCGCCCACCGCGCATGCTGCGATGGCGGAGCCATGGCCGGAAGGCGTGATTTGGCCCATTGAGTACCGAGATAATGCCATGAAGCTGATGAAGTTCAGTTGCAGGTGTCTGCGGCATGGCGCCGTGCGGGTTCTTGTCCACATTCCGTGCTTGCGGTGCGGGGGCGGTCCTTCTGCCCTGCTACTTGCTCGGCATGAAACAAGTCGTCTTGAACTGTTAAACCATCTTCCACACGCACTTCAAGCATACCTGTTGGTCAAATTACGCCGCATCATGTCAAGAATTGCCTCGCTAAATTCTCGCCGTGTTGTGCACATGGAGCGATACGGAATTGCTGAGGCAAGTTTTGCGATTGTTGCGCCCCAGCAATCTGACAGCCAAACCGGTGAAGCCTGGGCCAATGACCAGCCTTGGTGATCACTCTGTGTAATACACATTTTTGTGTGTGTTGGCAGCGCTCTGTAATAGATACGCCGCGACACAACGTATAGAGGTAATCGATTGCCTTGTATCGGTCCACCGTCCTCCAAGAGAACTCTGGGATGACGAATCGCAAGTCGGTGATGGGCCACGGATCTGGGCCGTGCGTTATCGATCCTGCAACCATGCTCTGCCGCCAGTGTCACGTGTGGCTCTATGGCGGAACGTTTGTCGAGCGTCTCGACCGTGCCCGCTTTGACGTATGTCATGGTACTTTACTCCAAACTTTTCAACTCAGGAAACTTGTACAATGCGAAAAGAATGGATGCCAATTTTGTCGCACAGTCCTTGCTTGTATCACGTTCCGAGTGGCAACAGGCTCTTTGTGTGAAAAGCCGCTCGCGCATAGACAAGATGTCTTTTCTCTACACCTCCTCCCTGACTGTCCGGGCTGGACGATCCGGGCATGTGCTGCAAATCTCAACACTTTCGATATGCGATTAGTGCCAGGCATCAAATGCAATCGCAGGGACGGTTCTAGACCTCTGCAGTAGATGCTCGACTCAAGCACGATCGATGGTGGTAAAACAGGCATCTGTTACCAAGAACTCGGCGCCGACAGTCACAACCTTATGGGCTACCGCATGGCCACCGAAAGTATTGCCCTGCAGATCAGCGAATGGCTCAAGAATTGCGCTTCGCTTCACAAAAGCTGCAACGACCAACAGCGGAATCAGGACAGCACAAGTGCCAAGATTCGTCTTGTTTATCTTGATATTGACGATAAGCAATAGCTTGTGGACGCCAACATTTCTGGGCAGGAATCGGATATTAGATATGTCACTTTGAGTCATCGTTGGTCCAACATTACGAAGGCTGGGGCGACAACCAAAGCAACCATTTTGGAGCGATATCAGAGTTTGTCGCTAGATGAATTCCCTTCGCACTTCAAGGAAGCAATTGCACTGATCAGGCGGCTAGGCTTCGAGCACATATGGATCGATTCGTTATGCATCATTCAAGACTCCCAGGACGACTGGCTACAGCAAGCGTCATTGATGCAGCGAATATACTCTCGAGGTGTGCTCAACCTCGCCCCTCTCGGAGAACTCTCGAACTCGGACGATGTCAGACCAAGCAAGAATACAGAGGTGATGGGCTGCATCCTTCGAGTATCCGATGATGACGCTGCAAGTGAAAGTCTCATCTGCTGGAAGCCGGACAACTTTGACCAGACGCTCCGAGAATCCGTCCTTTATTCCAGAGGTTGGACATTCCAAGAACGATTACTGTCGACCAGGACGGTTCATTTCGGCCATCAGCAGTATTGGGAATGCTGTTCGCTGCGTGCTTCTACAACATTCCCAACAGGTGTAGACTTTCCTGGCACATTTTCAGACAATTTTGTCTTAAGGTTCAAAGAGCTTTCGCCTGACCTGCCCAACAAGAGAATGGGTGCACAAGATTTGCACGTATTGTGGTGTAGTCTGGTGCGTGACTACTCCAGGAAGACCTTTACGAGGTCGAGCGATAAGCTCGTTGCATTTCGCGGCATCGTCGAGCGTCTCGAGCAGGTCTTCCCACCAGCTTTACACGAATACATGCACGGTTTATGGAGTTCTTGTCTGCCAGAACAGCTCTTATGGGGCGTAGAGGAAGACTGCAACCGTGGCGCTTCTTGCACAACGGTCCTGCCATCCTGGTCTTGGGCCTCGCGCACACAAGAGACCAAATTTGTGAGCACACATCTTGAGCAGGTGCCTTTTCGTATACGTTTAGCCCACTTCGTTGGTGCGTGTACAGTCAGTCTCGAGAAGTACTGTGCGAGTGAGGGTGTGGTACAGATGGACGCTCGACCAAGCTTAAAATTCAACGGGATTCTGGTTTCGCTTTCGAGTATGGACAGACGCACCCTGTCGACAGAGTTTGACTCGGATTCGTGTTTTGCAGAGGAGCCTAGTATCTTCCTTTTTCCCGCCTTTCAGACTATGACACGCGTTGATGGACTGATCCTCCAACCGATCGAGATTGGGGATGGGGTCACTGGATGCGGCACTTACTTCCAAAGACTAGGAATTTTTCAGAGTCCCACAAACATCTTCGAGAAAGTTGTATGTGCGCGGTGTTGTGCAGAACGTACAAATTGCTATTGGGATACAGTCCTGGACAAGCACGGATCTACCCTGACCCTGGTTGGTTGAAATGCGTATCAGCAGTGTCACAATCACGACTGGCATATGCAATCAGAAATCTCTGATGACACCAAACTATTCGCAATGTTCATTGGGAGGAAAATAGCGCTCTGTAGTGAAGCGTCCGCGAACAAACATGAGTAGAGCTCGCGGCTTTTTGCAAAAACATTGACATTTTGTGCCTTCTGAGATACTCTGATCAGGCATTCGAACACACTTTGCCGCCCGTAGCTGTTCTCAGGACACTCGTCGACTGCATCCACGATCAGGGTCACGTTCCGGTACGCTTCGAAGCAGCTAAGCCGAATGTTCTCGAGCTCCTGCGCTACCAGTGCGCTTCTGTTGGGTCAGACCCAGGACCCAGCACAGCAACCTTGATTGACAGCTGCCTGGAGGGCTTTATCGTTTAGGAAGGATGTTACGTTTTGAAGATTCCTATGCTCTTCGGACGTCTGCTGCCTGATGGCAGCATTGAAGCAGATAGCGGCAACGACTTATACCTCGAGCACCTGGAAGCAGAGAAGCAAGTGGACGAAAGAGTACAGGATGTTCCAGGAGTTGCAAGATGGATTCTATGTGCGAACAATGGGGTATTTCTGGAGCACTACGAGAACTGATCTCTAGGTGAATATGTTGCTTGTTAGAAACCGCCATTTCCGTGGAGATGGCATGGGGTCCTTCAAGCGACGGAGATCATCGCCCAAAGTCATTGAAGAGGTGTCCTAGCTCAATCGGATGGTTGGCTTCATCCGGTTTCAATCGCTTTTGTTACATGCGTAACCATGTTTCCGCCAGACCTGGAATCCATGGTCAAGGCCCCAAAAAGGTGGAGAAAGCGGGAAGAAGATATGTGACTACTGTAGGAGGGAAAGAAGTCGTGTTTCTACTTCCTGTCCTACACACAACCAGCCGCTTCGCAGTTGCACCTCTTAACTTGATCCGAAGGCATTTCGTCCTCCCTGAACTCCAGCTCCGACAATGGCAACCCATGTTGTCTGCTTTGACGATGAGATCGCTGTTCTTATCATGCAAATGGAAGAGTATGGTCTGCTCGCAGAGCAAGACAAGGGAAAGTATCTTCCTGATGATCCACCCGACTTCACATTGGCGCTTCGGATCTTCATCAAAGAGCTTCATGCCTACAAGTGCTACCTGGAAGATCACAAACTGGCAAGGAGTATTTGCAGCGCCGTGCACGAGGATGATGCCATTATCGCAGCTTTGACTTCTGAGGATCTCAAGGCTCATGAGGACAGACAGTTGGCGCTGCGACTGAGCGCAGACCTCGGCTCGCCGTATCAACCGCATACCGCCGAAAGTGATCCTTCATCTCTGAGCGAGTGGACATCTCGCCTGGCCGAAACGGTCGGCGCCAATTCATTGACCCAGACTATTGAAGATGATGACCAACACGCTGGCCCTTCAAGGACTTTCGCCGAACGCCAAGGCGACCTACTGGCCAAGCTGTCGGAAGGATTTACTTGCAATGTTTGTCATGAAAGACGGCAGCGTACTGCGATGGTACAGCTTGAATGCGATCATCTGTATTGCACAGATTGTGCGAAAGCACTTTTTATCCGCGCTACACATGACGAAACTTTATTCCCTCCACGTTGCTGTAAGAAACCTATCAATGCCGAACTCATCAGGAGACACATGACGGCAGATGAGCTAGAGGCTTTCGATAGTGCGAGCGTCGAGTTTGTCACCATCAACAGGGTTTATTGCAGTAATCGCCAGTGCGGGAAATTTATCTTACCTGCATTGATAGATGGCGGAACCAAATCGGCTACCTGCAACATCTGTGGTACTTGTACCTGTTGCATCTGCAACAACACATATCATGAGGGTAGTGACTGTCCCAAAGATCCTGCCCTTCACGACATGAGAGGATTGGCACTGGCGAACGGCTGGCAAACATGTCCGGGGTGCAATATGCTTGTCCAACTGCGCACTGGCTGCAATCACATGACGTAAGTGGAAAGTCGTGTCTAAATTCCAGCACCTCATGTGTCACTTCTGATGAACACTGAGAAGATTCCACCAACTGTTCTCGCTTGACACGTCTCGGCTGACCATATTTCCACCAGATGCCGCTGCAAGACTGAGTTCTGCTACGTCTGTGGCGTACGATGGAAGAACTGTCGTTGTGCTGTGGCAGACGAAGGCCGAATGATCGAGCGGGCGGAAGAGGTCGTCGACCGCGACGCCGAAGTGATCCTTCCTCGAGCTGAACGCAATCGTCGCATTCGTCTTGCGCATGCTGAGCTTCAAGAAAACCACGAGTGCGACCACCCCGGCAGGTTTCAGCGTCTGTTTGGGAGTGGAAATCTGCGGTTCCGGTGCGAGATGTGCGATGTTGAGCATCGAAATTATATTTTGCAATGTCGTGGTTGCTATATTAATGTTTGCGAGGACTGCCGCAGAAACCGCATCTAAGATACCTGGGGAGATTTGAGAGTCGTCAATTGAGCCGTAAGAAATGCAGAGACATTGTGTCATTCAGCTTGCCGCTGGTGCCTGACATCATTTCACAAAGCAAGGCCGGCTTGGAAAGTGCTCTTGCAGTCCGTCCGTAGTGTATGTTTCTATATCTTAATACATAAGCTTGAGCGTCGGTTGTGATTGGCAACAAGCATGCCCAGTAGAACAGCCGCCCTCACACAGATCGCAGATCCAACTCAATGACTTCGCCCTTTCTACGAGTTGTAGTAGGCGATATATGTTTATTACGCCCATGATCGCAGGAGTCTTTCCGGCGTACAGTGTGTGATTTTAGGCCTTGATATTAGACAAGTACGGTTTCTTCTTTTCTAGGCGAGGATTGAGGAGGGTCCTATACTTATCTTGGAATCGTAGTTTTGTGGATTATTGTATCCGGCGCGAAAAATCGCACTACGTGTCCGGCTCTACACTCCGATAGAGGAGTATTATTCGTCAGAGTTATAGAATACAAAAATCAAGTAAGCATATATGCACGATTCGCATGGCGCAGAGTACCCCCACGCAGCATGCGCGCACCCGCTTAATAGAGTACCCCTATCTGCAGATTTGTTATATAGATATATATAATAATTGTTAGTAGGTAAGCGGATTTCAAACCGACCGCTTTTTATATATATTATCGCTTGGTCTATCTTAATTAGTCGCGTAGCTAAACATTATCTAGATAATAGGTTTAATAGGAGTAAATTACGCAAATTATGTCCTAGCCGTAGCCTCCGACGCCGTCCGTATAAGAGAAGATATAGTCGCTTGTTACTAACCTATCTAGAAAGAGTATTTACTCTCGTTACTTAAATACTACTAATAGAACGAGTATTACTAACCTAGGACTTTCTAAGACGAAGTCTCGTAACTAGCTTCCTACTCGAACTCGGCTTAACTAAGATCTACCGGAGATTTGTCGTATAGGCTCTCTAGTTTAAATACTATCTTTCGACTTTACTTCGAATACTCTAGGCGATTCTCTATAGAATTCTCTATCTTCTTATATAATTCTATAGCTAAAGCTAGATACTCGAGTAGCGACGTAAAGTAGTCGTATTTTTAGAGAGCGGTTAATCGTCTAGCTATATACTAATAGATATAATCTCTAAGAGAGTTACTCTAATAGCGCTCTATAAGCTCTTCTATTACGATTTCGAGAATATCGTAGACTATAGAGTCGGAAAGCGTTATTCTCTTCTTAAAACCTTTAACGAATCGCTCGAGAACTACGTACTAAAACTCGCTCGATTATAGTCTCTTCTCTAAATAGTATAGGCGTATAAGTATTACGAGATTAGACTTATATCTATCTATATTAGCGATATAGCTTCCTCGGTATAAGTAATTTACGAAGTAGCTAAAAAGATATAGATCCTCGATTAAAGTAATACTCTAGGAACTTACTTTATAGAACCTACCTCTAAATACTCGTATAATTCTATCCGACTCTAAAAGGACGATATCGGTATAGAGATAGAATATCTACGAGCTACTCTCGTACTCTACTACGATCGAAACGATACTTAACGCTAGTAAGCTATTATAAGAGTTAGCCTATAAATGTTTTATAATAAGAGTCTCTATCTCGAAAACTTCGATATTATTAGGATCCCTATAGTCTCTTCTACTATCTACTAAGAGATTAAATACCCGATTAGAAAATAATAGTATATATAGCTTTAGAACAAAATTTAGATAAGACTTGCCGAATTTATAGTAGTTCTAGCAAAAAGAACGCTCGGGTAGTAATCGTACTCTAGGAATAAGGTAGAGGACTATAGAGGCTCGGATTCCCTCTAGTAAAATCCCGTAATATATATTATTATAGCTCTATATATATTTTCGGGAGCTTCTTCCTACTAGCTAGTTGCTAAGAAAGCTCTATATAGTAGTCTAGGAGCCTTTAAAGCTAGAGCGATTTTAGGCTAACGTAATACCTAGAGTATATACTATAGGCAAATATTCCTACTAGATAGGAAGTTAGTTACTATATAAGTACTATAGTTAATATATATCTATTCGCTCGCGGTTCTCCGCTAGCTAAGCCGTATCGAGAGTAGTATACTAGCGGAGTATAGATCGGTAGTACTTATAGCTTACGTATAGTATCGAACTAATAAACTTATTAGGAGCTTAAGCTAGGCTAATCTAGATACGCCGATCTATAACTCTAGGGAGACTAGAACGACGATATTATAACTTTACTTATACGACGCGCTATAATAGCCGTATACTTAAATAGATAATATACTTAGTTAAGCTAATTATAGTATTATTATAGGACTCGGCCCTAAAATAACTAATAGGAGCTAAGGATCTAGTAACTTAGTTATAGTACTATCCGAACTCTTCTCG